AATATGGGAATGATGAATCATTGGGTGAAATGAAATTGATCTTTCAAGTGGCCACTACTTCATTTATTGGCTTTACCTAAGAATGTAAATCCAATAATTTTCTAATTATGATTGTGCAAATTTAAAATTAAAAATAAAAATAAAAATGGAGTACTATATTTAATTTTTAACCTAAATTGTTTTTTCATTTTTTTTTTTTTTTTTGAAGAAATAGGAGATGAATATGCACAAATGATGTTGAGACACATCAACAGTTCTTATATAGACAAACATTAATGCTGGTCACTTCAACCCTACTGCACTCATCTTTTATTTTAATTTTTTTTTTTTATTTTAATAGATATATACATTATTTAAGTTAGTAGTCACTTCATTGAAATTTTTACTTTCTTGATCACTATATATTGTTGAGAGTAAGTTATGGTTAATTATTAGTATTTTCATAGGTTTTGTATTTGAATTTTTTTTTAAGAAAGTTTTGGGAATGTTTGGAAACAAGGGTTTCATTTTTATACATTATTGAGTAAGGGGAATCGATAATTATTGAAATTAATATTGAAATTATATGTAATATAATAATATATTCCGTGACTGAACCAGATTCAAGATTTCGGAAAGATAAAATTGTTTTGTTGGTTTTATATTTTTACTGATTGATTTCGATTTCAACCTATTTGAAACGATAAAATGAACTGTTGGATTTTTAATTTTTTTTGTTTGAAAAAAAGAATATTGTAAAAACTTGTTCGTGGATTCACTTTAATTGATTTGATGTCATCTTAACTAATAAAATTATTTTTGATGCTCTTAACAATATAGTAAGGTGATGAAGAAAAAAATAATTCAAAAAATAGAGGGTGTAGAATTAATATTTTAGATAACAAGAATTGTATTTTTTTATATAATTTATCTATGATTAAAAATATTATATATTATAATAAATTAAAATGATACAATGAAGAGTAAATAGAATAATAGACATAAATTGGGGAGGCAAATCCACATTATTAGGTTTAAAAAAAATTATTTTTTTACATTAGAATTTTTACATTTTTATTGTGTTAAATTTAATAATATAATAATCTATTATGTAGAATTATATTATATGTATGTGAGAACAATATTAGTAGACGATTAAAAAATAACCTTATTATTCAATGAAAATTAATAACATAACTTAATAAATAACTAAATTTAATTTAAAATTAAATAACTAAATTATATAATCACACTCTCTCAAAGGTTTCAACGAAACAACTTGAGTTTGCAAAAAAAAAATTGAATATGATAGCATTCACAATCGTTCATCGTGTCAGAAGCAGTTCTGTCAACTGAATTAGAGTTGAAAACTAACACGACTCTCACTAAAGTCGAAAACAACGAGACTTTCAATACAGTCGAGACTATGGCTCTGAAAAAATGTGGCAGACAGATCAAAAGCCTCAATTATAACAGGATTTGGAGGTGGAGATGGCTTCGTAGACCGACATGATAAAATCAGGATTCAAAACTTCAGAAACTGAAAGACTATAAACAATAGTCAAAATCTTAAAATTTGAAGATATCACGTGAGAAAAAATTTATTAGATGATTCAAAAATAATACTCCCTCCGTCCCAAATATCGTGTCTGCTACACTGTAGACACGGTATTTTAGGAGGGATGTAATTAATATATAATTAAAAATGTATCAGTGAAAATAATTATCATATAATATAAATAATTATAAATTAAGATTAAGATAACTAATCAGTTTAATTAAAATTTAAAAAAATTAAAAAATTTAAAATAAGATTAAAATGTGTAATCATTTTCCAAAAAAGAAAAATGACATGCTATATGGGACGGACGGAAACGGCAACATGAACATGGCATCTGAGACGGACGGAGTATTATCATTCATAACGAAGATACAACATATAAATAGAGATAACATATACATTAATTAATGAAAACAATTTAAACAATTGATAAGGCCAAATCTAAAATTAAACTGAATATTTAAAATATTTTAATAATATATTTTATTAATATATATTATATATTGTATTATCCTATACGGTAAAATATTGTCGACCATGATAATTTGTATGAATCGAGTCAAATTAGCACTATACTGTTTACAATACTGATTTGATCTATCCATGTTAGAAAATTAATCATTGTTAATTAAGATGGAGTTTGATCGATAATCTTGTGAATTGATTAAAAATCATCACACTGTAATAACTTCCATAGTAAAAAAAAAAAAAAAAATGGTCAAAATGAAGCTGTCTTTCTGATCATCGCCTAAGAATTGTGATGATGACAGCATGTTACTTCGTTATCCTCTCCCTCTCTCTCTCTCTTTCTCTCGCACGCACACATTCTCTCTCTCTCTCTTAATTTTATTTATAATTTAAACATATATACAGTACGTCCTACATAATTTGTCCCTATTTTTTATTTTCGTCTGTCTCGTATATTTGAAAATATAATTATACACTTTAATCTTCTTAATTTTAATTAAACTATTTACTTATTTAATCTTAATCTATAATTATTTTTACTAATACACTTCTTAATTACTACTAATTATATTTTACCTAGATTCCCGTGTCTATAGCAATATACTCATATTACATGGGGCGGAGGGAGTAAATTTTTGGAAAAAGAATTACTGGAGTTAAATCAAAGTAGTTCGTAATTATATATAATGGAAAAAAAATATTTTTAGTTCAATATAACTAAAATTCATCAATTTTGGTTTTAATATAAATTTTTTATTAATTTTAGTTCTAATATAACAAAATTCATTATTTTTTATTCCAATATAACCAAAACTCATAATTTTTTATCTCAATATAAAATTTTTATCAATTTTAGTCCCAATATAACCAAAACTTATCATTTTTTATCCCAATATAATCAAACCTTATTTTTTTGGTCCCACCGTCGACAATCCCAAGGAAAATGCTGCAAGATTGTGCAATTTCTTCAAATATAAATATAATGTTTGATTTCTTTTCACGTCAGAATTTTTCGTCGGTTTGTTGACGGTGTGGGACCAAAAAATATAAAGTTTAATTATATTGGGACAAAAAATGATGAGTTTTGGTTATATTTGGAACTAAAATCGATAAAAATTTTATATTGAGACAAAAAAAATAATGAGTTTTGATTATATTGAGATTAAAATTGATAAAAATGTTTCATATTGAGATCAAAATTAATAAATTTTGATTATATTGAAACAAAAATAATTTTTCCCATTATATAATTATACAATGTGGAACATTAATCGCTTTCTTTGTAGCATTAAAATTTCTTTCTTTCTTTCTTTCTTTCTCTCTCATAAATTCAGTTTCTCACTCTGCTCTGCTCTGGTCACAGGAATTTAATGAAGTTAAATTGATGGGGCCTATGTTTGTTTCTCCCTCGTTCATTACCAGACAAAACCCACCCACCCATGCGCCTGTGTGAATATACAGACACAACTCATACACACATATATATATATATACAATATATATTGTATATATTCAGACGACATCAGAGCTTGCCTCGTACGTAAATTAAGAATTCAATTATACGTATATATATATGTATGTATTTGTGGGTCTTCTTCTTCTTCTGCAAATATATAGAATTAATGGCGAATGAACAGTAAGTTTGATGTACATGTAAATGAAATGTGAACAGTCAGACCCTCTCTCTCTCCTCTCTCTCTCTCTATATCTATATATATATATATTTGTATGTATGTGTATATGTACTGTACGGTGTGTCTTAACCCGACCACTGCTCATCTCTCTATGTAATTGCCGGCACCCATTATGTATATATAAATTATTGGCTAAATTGTACAAAATTCACCTATATTTTTGTGAAATTGCGCCAAATACCTTAATATTTTTTAAATTACATCAAATTCTCTTTTGGTTTTATAAACTATGCGCTAATTTATCGGCGGTTTTTATTTAACGGTATTTGACCTAACTGCGTCCAAAATACGAATAAATTTTAGAATCTCAATTTCTAAACCTCTAAAATTACAAATATATTCATTTTTATTATATTTAACCTAAAAAATAAATAAAAATAAACTCTTAAAACCAGAAAAAAATAACTATTTTTAGTATATTTAATATATATTAAGGCTAAATATATAAAAAAAATGAATATATTTGTAATTTTGGGTTTTTAAAATTAAGATTCTAAAATTTATTCGCAATTTGGACGCATTTAGGTCAAATATCGATAAATAAGAACCATCGATGAGCAGGATTAGACACAAAATTTATGAAACTACGATGAAATTTGACGCAATTTTAGAAATATAAGGGATTTGACGCAATTTTATACAACCACAACCACAAATTGATTTTATGCAATTTAGCCTAAATTATTAGTAATAATAATTGTATTGATTTGATTTTTGAAGAAATTGTAATGTATATGTAATGGGATTTATTTATGGGTAGCTGCTATATATCCTTTTGGTGTTAATAATTTGTATTTATGTTTTGTTTAATGTGAATTTAATTATGTATATTGATAATTGAAGTATAGTGGGAATGGGAGACAGTAACAGCAGCAGAAAACCCTAATTTCCTCCTCATGTCTTAGCACCTTTCTCAATTAATTCATAAATAATTGTTCTTGGATTGTATGTAGGAATAAATAATTATTTTATTTTATTATTTTTTTTAAATGTTCTTGGCACTGTTTAGAAAGGGGTTTATGTGTTCTTTTCAAAGTCCCAATCTCTTGTATAAAATATATTTTCATTATTTTAATTTCTTCCATTGTTTAGTCACATTTCACAAGTGATTTCCTGTCCCCCCTTTTCACTGTGGAGTTAGGTTTTACTTTACATCGATATATCCCCATGTAACAATATTAATTTTATTTTTTTTTTTAAAAAAAAAAAAAAACCCATTTTTAACCACTTGTGCTCACCAGTTTAAATTTGGTGGTTAGTTCAGTCATTGTCTTTACAACTTTTTAGGTCATCTGGTATTTATGTTATTTCCACTCTCTCTCTCTATACTTCTTCTTCTTCTTCTTCTTTATTTCTCTCTCTCCTAATTCCACAATATCTTTTCTCGTCTCTGATCTACTGCAATCACTTCTTGCAGTTTCACCTTATCTTCCCCCAATTGATTTGAATTCAATTCAATTCAATCGAAAATCATACTCACCCTAGAGCTAGCTTCCTTCCTCTCCCGCTTCCATCAATGGCGGATCCCTATTCCAATTACTTCAATAATGGATCATGGCCTTTCAATCTCAACCCTATCACCCCCTTCAACCCCTCCTCATCATCTTCCTCCAATATCTATCCCTACACCTTCAATTTCTACCATCACCATCATCATCATCTCCAGTGCCCTAACAGCAGCAGCAGCCCCAATTCTCTGCAATCTCCTCCTTCCCCGCCACTTCGGGAGGCTCTCCCCTTGCTCAGCCTGAGCCCCACCAGACCCTCCGAGGATCAAGAATATTCTTCATCCTGCAGCGCCATGGAAGTCGACAAGACAATGAAAATTAACATTAACAGTAACAGTAACAGTACCCGAGTGGTGCAGGTGGAAGAAGAAGACGAAGAAGAAGAAGAACAGGTGGAAGATGAATCTGTGGCAGTAACTTTGAATTTAGGGCTTTCAACTCCTTGCATTAATTTTGACCACCAAGACTCTGACCTGGTCTCGAGAATGTCTTCTTCCTCTGGAAATTACAGCAATAAAGAAGAAGTTACTGTGGCTAACAGTGGATATAATCCAACCAGTCCACTCAACAAAGGCCAGTATTGGATCCCAACCCCTGCCCAGATTTTGATTGGACCTACACAGTTTTCTTGCCCTCTTTGCTTCAAGACCTTCAACAGATACAATAACATGCAGGTATATATTCAAAATATAAAATAAAATTACAAATTTTTTAAGTAAAATTAATGTCTTTATTACATTTTTTATGTTCACCAGTTTTTCTCTTTTAGCAGAAATTAAATCACTACTGCATATAATAGTATAGATTATGATGATGATGATGATGATGGTGGTGGTGGTGGATAATATTAGAGGAGAAGAAAAAGCTCTACTTTAGTTTCTATCTTTATGTTTTGTTTTTGTGATATTTTAAAATTTTCATCTTTTCTTTATTTCTTGTCCTTTTGATTTTGCAGAAAAAGAGAAAACCCATCCCTCTCTTTGTTTGAACACATCTTTTCTAGTGTAATTTCAACCTTTACCTTTTGCTGGATTGATAGGGTGAATGATGATTGTATGGGTCCAAATTAGGGTTTTCTTGTTTTCTCCCTTTTCTCCTTTCAATAATGTCATCCTCTCTTCTTTCTATTGCACCCCCCCTCTTTAATTAATTCTTTTATTTAATTAACTTTTATTTTTTAAAATTTATATATATATATATTAATTTTAAATGTCCTTCCTTCATCATCCATCCCCTTCTTTAATCATCAGTTTCAAATAAATTATTGGCGAGGCAAGGCTGAGGTTTTGGGGATCTGCATAAATCTACCTGGTCCAACTAAGGAACCTGGCTACCCAGTCAGTCACCATAAGCTTAGAATACTACCCACCCACCCCCCACCCCCCCTACCCCCTTCCCACCCTCTTTATTTGATTGAACAACTCAGCCATTATGCTTTTTGTCCTTGAAGTTTGTAATATTTGTACGCATTGGCAGATGTGTCAAAAACTGAAACATTTTCCCTGTTCAGATTTTTTTGTTTTTGTTTTTGTTTCCCCTATCAATGATCAGGGCAAAGAAAAGGTTCTCAATCTGCACACTCAACCTTAATTCATCAGAAAAAAAAAAAAAAAGAGAATGCCTCAATCCCCGCAGACACCACAGGTTTTTGTTGGCTTTCTGCTCCTCCTGCAACTCAGCTTCCTCAAGATTCAACAAATATATGAATTTCAAAACATTTATGTTTCTCTTTGCAAGAATTTATCTGAAACTCATCAAAAGCAGCAAAAAGCTCTTTCTTGTTAAAGTTTCCCCATTCAATTAACTTCCTTCTGTTTTTTTTTTTTTTTTTCTTATGCTCAGAATGGTCAAGATCACTTACTCCTTTTACTTCACTTTCTTGAAACCCTAGCTGAAAAACATAAACTGATGACGCTGAATCTAGTCTGAGTCCCTAATTAATTCAGTCAGCATTGTAATAATAATAATGTATTCTCAATAAAAACATTAATTGATTGATTGATCTCCATTGCAGATGCACATGTGGGGACATGGTTCACAGTACAGAAAGGGCCCTGAATCCCTAAGAGGGACACAGCCAACAGCAATGCTGAGGCTGCCATGTTACTGCTGTGCACCAGGTTGCAGGAACAACATCGACCATCCGAGGGCCAAGCCATTGAAGGACTTCAGAACTCTTCAGACACACTACAAGAGGAAGCATGGGATCAAGCCATTCATGTGCAGGAAATGTGGCAAAGCCTTTGCTGTCAGGGGAGATTGGAGGACTCACGAGAAGAATTGTGGCAAGCTCTGGTACTGCACCTGTGGATCTGATTTTAAGCACAAGAGATCCCTCAAGGACCACATTAAGGCCTTTGGCAATGGCCATTCGGCTTACGGCATCGATTGTTTTGATCAGGAGGAGGACGAGCCGGCCTCAGAAATCGAGCAGGATAATTGCGAGTCTTCGCAGTGACTACAATGATCGATCGCCGACGGATTTTCGACTGTTTGACTGATGCAAAATGGTTTTCTTTTCTTTTTTTTTTTTTTTTTTGTTCATCATAAGTTTTTAAGTAGGAAGGGAATTGAAGGGAGGAGCCATTTTCAGGTTTTGTTATATATATTTTATATTATATATAGATATATTATATATTTGCTCCTTCATTTGAGTACTGAAAAAAAAAATTGAATTTAGTTTGGTACGTTTGAATGCAGCAGCCTATGGAATTTGTCAATCTCTCTAATAATCAATCATCAATCAGTGAGGTTTTTCTTGATTTTGTTTGACTTAAATTTTTAAGGTTGAAGTAAAGTTGGTTTTGGTCAATTGTGTCTCTTTTTCTTGGATTCTTGTTCAATCCTTTTTTAGGGTTTATTGTTTGTTTATATATCAATGCATAAAAGATGCATGGAACATAAGGTTGGATATATTCTTATTTATTTATTGAATTTATGATCTAGCAAGGGAGTTTACTTTAATTTTATTTTTGTAGGTTAATCATGTTTATATACTTCAAATGGGGTTTAGTAGTTTTTTTTTTTTTTTTTTGAAGTATATATAATCTAATTATATATATTAATTAAGTGGTATTCATTATGTTTAACAGGCATGCGAAAGGTTGTGTTGTGCTTGTTTTTGTGGAGTTTTCGGATATTTGGAGCATTTTAAATTTGGAAAGTTTTAAATAGAAAATAAAATTTTAGTATGATATTTTTATTAAAAAAATATATATATATTGTGTATTTGTTTGTGGGTTTTAGTTTTTTTGTTTGGATTTTTAATAGTAAAAAGTTGAATTTGAATAGTTGTTTGATGTGATATAAATAAAGGTTGATGTGATATTTTGAATGTAAAATGTAAAATAAGTTTGTAGTATAATATAAAAAAATAATTATTTGATATAATATTTTTTAAGGAAAAAAAAATTGAATAGTAAAAATTTGTCGTAAAACCACAGAAGAATACAACGGATGTGCAAAAGCAATATGACAATATTGCAATTAGACAAACTGCAAATTAATACTCTCCCCGTTATTCAATTGTGTGCTCATTTGATCGGACACGAGTTTTAAAGAAAAATGTAAAAATAGAAATTTTTACTTTTTTTGGTAAAGAAAACTGGTATTTTTTTACTAAAAAGGAAATGAGAATAAATTTGGATGACGACCAAAAAAGAAAAGTGATAATAGATTTGGACGAAGGAGAGAGTAAAATATTTACCAAACCAAATTATAATGGAAAATATTACAAGACATAAGTGATCTTTAGCTAAGCCTTAAAAAATAAAAATTAAAAATCCCCCCAACTATTGCTAGATAGACTTACTATAAAAATCGATAATATTCTAAATTAAGAAGAAAATAGTAAAGAACAAACCTAATACACAATATATATATACCAAACAAACAAAAATACTCAATAGAGCTAAAATCAAATGAACAAGAGCATGTGATTTAATTTTTTTTTATACAAATAAACAAAGAAAATAAATAAATTCACCATTACATTCAAACACCAAACTTGATTCAATGTATCATCACATTTACAAATTTAGAAGAATATACACGTTGTCCGCGCATGGAAAAATAAATAAGAAATACGAATATATAACACAAGAAGGGAAATATTTAGTAAAAATAAATTATATACCGACATAGATCATTCAACGATTTTCTTACACTTACCTTTGTTCAATATCTTATGTATATGCCTTTAGTTTGCTGACTAAGTCAAATTATCACGGTACTAACAATACATGTATATATATAGTACAATATAATATTGCGTTATATATAAATATATATTTTACAATTTATATACATCTACTTACATTGAAGAACAATATAAAACTTAAAAATGAAAATAAAACTCATATTATTAATATTCTCATTCATATAAATTAGTCTATTTTTTACAAATTCAACATTATTATTAATTACAAAGCAACATTGTGTCAAATTAATTATTTGTATATCTACATGATTTATTAATTATAACTAAAATGTTTGGAATGGAACAATTGCAATTTGGCAATCTTTTTAATTCTTGCAATTGAGGATAGTTGAGATGAATGCATTTGACCAAATTTTAAGTGAAAATTTATACTCCCTCCATCCCATGCATTCATTTGTTTTTTACACAGTAAAATAATCTTGTTAGTATTGTGTGATATAAATGTAATGACATTTGCGTAATATATTGTAAGTTGTAAAGGTATTTGTAATGTTAGGTAGATAGTATAATTACAAAAAAAAAAAAAATGAATACTTTGTTATGAAACATACTAAAATGAAAAAACAGATACTTTGTCACAGGAGTAAAAGAGTATGTCATTATGTTATGCATTCTTTGGATTTTCTGAATATATATATATATTGGTTAATTAAATAAAGGATTTCATGGGTTAAAATGATTTAAATGTTTAGATTTTTATCAATATTTTTTCATTTATTTATTATAGCTTAACGAAAATCTCCATCACAAAAAGGGCATCCTTTAATTTGAAAAAAAAAAAAAAAAAGTCAAATTCTTCTTTTACTTTATGTGGTTTAAATTAAATTTTTGTATGGAATATTCCACTTTATATGTATATATGTTGGAATTAGTATTCTTACAATGATTGTCCTATATATAATAAATTATGGGGAAAAAATTATTTTTTTGTTTCAATATAATCAAAATTCATCAATTTTGGTCCAAATATAAATATTTTATCAATTTTGGTCCAATAAAATCAAAACTCATCATTTTTTGTCAAATATAAATTTCTTATCAATTTTAGTGTCAATATAACCAAAACTCATCATTTTTTGTCTCAATATAATCAAATTTTATCTTTTTTGGTCCCAATATAATCAAACCTTATTTTTTTGATCTCACACCGTCAACAAACCGACGAAAAATGCTGACGTGAAAAAAAATCAAACCTTATATTTATATTTGAAGAAATTGCACAATCTTGCAGCATTTTCCGTCGATTTGTTGACGGTGAGATAAAAAAAGATAATGTTTGATTATATTTGGACAAAAAATGATGAGTTTTGATTATATTGGGACTAAAATTGATAAAAAAAATTATATTGGAACCAAAAATAATGAGTTTTGACTATATTGGGATCAAAATTGATGAATTTTAGTTATATTGGGAACAAAAATAATTTTTTCCCTAAATTATGGAATAGAAAGTTATTATACATAAATTTATTTTTGGGACAATATTTAGAAGATAAATAGCAATGATATCATTGATCAGGATTTGATCCAAACCTTATTAGATCTTAGCCTTCTTATTTGATAAAAGTTAGTTTGATCAATTTGTATTTTTTAAATTTATATTTGAATTTTGCTAAAAAGATGTAGAATAATATGTTAGCTGTTTTAGTAAAGTTTGTTTTTATATCTTTTTTTATTGTTTTATATATTATTATGGTTTGCTAATTAATGTATGGCTTATTTGTTTGTTTAATTTTGCTAATTTAATTTTTTAGAGATTTAAATAAAATAATCATATATGCTGAACTTAACTTATTTAACACTATTTTGCTAATATAGTTTTTTATTTTTTCAAATAGTACTCCCTCCGTCCATACACTAATGTCCTACTTTTCTATTTGAGACTGTTGTACTATTTTATTTTTTAAATACAAATTTTACATTTTTACCCTTCATTCATTTATTATTTTTAATTTTTACCATACAATTAATGACAAATTTGTCAATTTATAACAAAAAGACAATCACCTAAAAAACCGTGCAAATATACTTTAGGACAATAGAAATTGGACAGAGGAAGTAGTATATATGCTAACTTGTCAGTAAAATTTTGTTGATATATTTCTTTTATTGTTTTTGTATATTATTAGAGTTTGTTAATCAATGTAATAAATAATTCTTGTTTATTTGTTTAATTTTGCTAATTTAACATTTTAGAGATTTAAATAAAAATAATTATATGTTCTGACATACATATTTAACAACGTATTTTTTTATTTGCTCAAATACTATTTATATATTCTAACTTATTGAATCTTTTTTTTTATTATTATTATTGTTTTTTTATATATATTATTAGAATTTGCTAATCAATAGAAGAGATGTTACTTAATTCATAGGAGAACTTCATAGCAGAGTTGATTTCCCTACTCAATACATCACAAATAGGTAGAACAACATATAGGTGTCAACATTGAACCCGACCCAAAAAATTTAATCCGTTTCGACTTGAAAATTTTCAGATTCATATTTAGGTGCTTGGGGTTTTTAAAAGATCTGATCGGCCCGAATCTGAAAAAAAAAAAAAAAAAAAAAAGGTTAGATCGGATAGGATTTTAGATTGACCTAATAATTCAAAATAAAAAAAAAAAAATCACCAGATCACTTGAAACTTAAACCCAACCTGATTTTTATTTGATTTTATAATTAAAATTATTATTTTTATTTTGAACTATAATAATATTAAAAAAATAAAATAATATTAAAATATTAAAATTATAAAAGTAAATAATAAACTAATTATAAAAAAAAACAAAATCAAGTTTTTAAATCTGTTTCGCATCAGATTTTCTTAAATAAGTTTAAAATTTTTAGGTTTTCAAGTTTGTTACATGTCAGTTTTCAAAATGTTGAATCTGTTTTATATCAAGTTTTTTTTTTAGATAAGTTTAAAAATTTCAGGTTTTTGAGTCCGTTTCGTGTTTGTTTTCAGGTTTTTGATATGTTTCGTATCAAGTTTTTCGTATTATCGGATGGCCTAAAATAAAAACACGTTGACCTGAACTCGACCTGAAAAATTTATGTAGTGTTTTGGTTTAGAATTTCAGGTTGAAAATCGGGTTCAGGTCGAGTTTAGATTGATAATTTTTTTGTTATATCCACAATTTAACGCAACATAAATATATCTAAAAATTCGAATTGACACCCCTAATACAATTTCATTTACTATAGTTGACAACACAATATTATGTTAGTTGAAATCATACACTGACACTTCTCTTTATAGGATATTTTGTATATGAACCTATTTTATATATTGAAATTAATAAGTAAGTGAACAATTGTCATGTGTAACCAGTTGATGTGAATACATTTATACTATATTAACATAAATAAAATAGTCTATTATTATATAATATATTATATTGCTTATTATTATACTATAGTTTATTTGATGTTACATATTGTGTTGTCTAACACTATCTTGAATTTTTTAGTTCAACATAATAACTATATATATA